AGAGCATGAGAAGAGCCAGGAGGAAGGAGAGAGCCAGGAGAGCATGAGAGAGCCAGGGAGAGAGAGAGCCAGGAGAGCATGAGAGAGCCAGGGAGGAAGGGAGAGAGCCAGAGAGCATGAGAGAGGAAGGGAGAAGGAAGAGAGCCAGGGAGGAAGAGAGTGAGGGAGAGCCAGAGAGAGAGGAGCATGAGAGAGTGCCAGGGAGGAAGGAGAGAGCCAGGAGAGCATGAGAGAGCCAGGAGAGCAAGAGGGAGCCAGGGGAAGGAAGGAAGGAGAGCCAGGAGAGCATGAGAGAGCCAGGGAGGAAAGGAGAGAGCAGAGAGAGCATGAGAGAGGCCAGGGAGGGAAGGAGAGAGCCAGGAGAGCATGAGAGAGCCAGGGAGGAAGGAGAGAGCCAGGAGAGCATGAGAGAGCCAGGAGAGCAAGAGGGAGCCAGGGAGGAAGGAGAGAGCCAGGAGAGCATGAGAGAGCCAGGAAGGAGAGAGAGGAGAGAGAGAGCCAGGGAGGAAGGAGAGAGCCGAGAGCATGAGAGAGCAGGGAGGAAGGAAGAGGCCAGGAGAGCCCCAGGAGAGCAAGGAGAGTGCCAGGGAGGAAGGAGAGAGCCAGGAGAGCATGAGAGAGCCAGGGAGGAAGGAGAGAGCCAGGAGAGCATGAGAGAGCCAGGGAGGAAGGAGAGAGCCAGGGAGAGCATGAAGAGAAGCCAGGGAGGAAGGAGAGAGCCAGAGAGAAGAGAGAGCCAGGAGAGCAAGAGGGAGCCAGGGAGGAAGGAGAGAGCCAGGAAGAGAGAGAGAGCCAGGAGAGGAAGGAGAGAGCCAGGAGAGCATGAGAGAGCAGGAGAGGAAGGAGAGAGCCAGGAGAGGAGAGAGCCAGGGAGGAAGGAGAGAGCCAGGAGAGCATGAAGAGAGCCAGGAAGAGCTGAGGAGCCAGAGAGAAGGAGAGAGCCAGGAGGAAGGAGAGAGCCAGGTAAGCAGGCCAGGAGAGAGAAGAGTGCCAGGGAGGAAGGAAGAGCCAGGAGAGCATGAGAGAGCCAGGAGGAGAAGGAGAGAGCCAGGAGAGCATGAGAAGAGTCAGGAGAGGCAAGAGGAGCCAGGGAGGAAGGAGAGAGCCAGGAGAGCATGAGAGAGCCAGGGAGGAAGGAGAGAGCCAGGAGAGCATGAGAGAGCCAGGGAGGAAGGAGAGAGCCAGGAAGGAAGGAGAGAGCCAGGGAGGAGGAGAGAAGCCAGGAGAGCAGGAGAGCGAAGAGCAGGAGAGTGCCAGGGAGGAAGGAGAGAGCAGAGAGCAGAGAGTGCCAGGGAGGAAGGAGAGAGCCAGGAGAGCACGAGAGAGGCAGACGGAGGCTCAGACAGCGGCATCGATCCCGCCCTCGGCCTCCGTCTAGCGCCTTGCCATAAATTTCCGATATTTTGTGTAAAAAGTGACGTCACAGAAGCTTAACTCGCCCGCCCAAGCGCCACGGGGGGTTTGTTTGTTTGTTGTGTTTGTGTGCCCTTTCGCACCACTCGGGTCGTCGCGTCGCCCTCAGATCGCCGCGGGGCAATCGCTGTCCCGAATCGCCACTTTATTCCTCCGACGAGTGGCTTCCTTCACACTCGTTTTTAATCATTTTTTTTATCTATCTGCTTTTTATTTATTCTTTTTTTTTTCAAGATGCTCGTTTCCGGAGGGGTTAGACGGGTTGTACTCCCCCCTTCGTTTCCTTTCCTTATCCGTTTTTTCGAAGGTTTAGACGAGGAGTTTCCTTTGTTTTCCTTGTCCTCACTTTGCGTTCTACCGTTCCTCCCCCCCCACACCCCACCCCCCCATCCCTCCTCTCTCTCCCTATCCGAAGTCCCCGCAGCGCTCTGAATCTCCGCTAAACAGTGATCGTAAGTGACCTCATTTTTCTTTAACCGAATCAAGTGGAAAATGGGAAATTCCTCGGGGCCACCTTGGCACCGACCCATTTTTTCTGGTCTCGCGCGAGAGCTGGGGGAAGGGCGAGAGGGGGGGGAAGGAGAGGGGAAGAGGTGAGGGAGGGAAAGGGGGAAGGGAGGAGGTGGAGGAAAAAGGGGGAGAGGGGGAAAGGAGAGGGGGGGGAGGGGAGACGGGGAGGGGGAAGAGGGGGGAGGGAAAGGAAAAGGAAGGAGAGGGGGAAGAGGGGGAGGAGGGGAAGGAGAGAAAGGGAAAAGGAAGGAGAGGATGAAAGTGGGGTAGGGGAGGCAGGGGAAGAAGGGAGGAGGCTGGGGGGAGGGAGGAGGGAAGAGAAGGGAAAAGGGAAGTCGAGAAGAAGTGGGGGGAGGCTGAGGGGGAGAAGGCGAGGGGAGAGGGAGGGGAGAGGGGAGGGGGGAGGGAGAGAGAGAGGAATAGAGGGAGGGGGAAGTGGAGGGAGAGGGATATAGGTGGAGGAATTGAAAGGAGAAGGAAGGGGAGAGTAAAGCAATGAAGGTTAAGGGGGAGGGAGGGCTGAGAAATAGGGGAGAGAGGCGGGAATGGAGAAAATGTGAAACGGATGAGAGGAGGGAGAGGATGGAGAAAAAGGAGAGGAGGGGGATAGGGGGAGAGGAGGGAGAGGAAGGAGGGAGGGAGGATGGAAGAAAAGACTAACATACAGAGAGAAAGAGATGGTAGATAGAAAGGGGAAGGGGGAGAAAAGTGAGTGAGTAATGAGTGATGATGAGAGAGAAGGAGAAAGAGGAACGGAAAAAGGAGAAAATTGGGGAGAGAGGAATAGAAGGAAGTAACAAATGGGACAGATAGAACGAGAGAGACAGATAGAGATAGATATAGAGATAGAGATAGATAGCTAGAGAGAGAGAGTGAGAGAGAAGAGAGAGAGAGAGAGAGAGAGAGAGAGAGAGAGAGAGAGAGAGAGAGAGAGAGAGAGAGAGAGAGAGAGAGAGAGGGAGAGAGAGAAGAAGGAGAGAGAGAGAGAGAGAGAGAGGAGAGGGAGAGGAGCGAGAGAGAGAGAAGGAGAGAGAGAGAGAGAGAGAGAGAGAGAGAAAGAGAAAGAGAAAGAGAAGAAGAGAAGAGAGAGAGAGAGAGAGAGAGAGGAGAGAGAGAGGAGAGAGAGAGAGAGTGAGAGAGAGAGAGAGAGAGAGAGAGAAGAAGAGAGAGAGAGAGAAAGAGAAGAGAAGAGAGAAAGAAATCAACAACAACGAGCGAAAATAAATAAAGAAAAGAGAGGAAGCGCGGGAAGTAAAAGAACGGAAAGAGAAACAGAGGAAAGAAGCAAAACAAGCGACGGCGAGGAGAAGGGAGGCGCGCCAGAGAACCCCCCTCCCCTTCCCCACCACCACCCCCACCCCCCCTCCCCGCGCCGGTGATGCTCAAGGCCCGGGCAAAAGATCTTTTTCTGCTAATTACAACATTATTCAAAAGCTCGGAGGCGATGATGAACCAGGTGTTGGAGCCTCGGCGACCGACTCTAATGAAGAGAACGAATCTGGACCGAGATTCCTCCTACTCCCCCCCCCCTTTCCCTCAACCCCCCCACAACCCTTCCATTACCCCAATGTCACCACCACGTGTACGTACTCACACACATACATCCACACACACACATACACACCTACAAACAGGCAAACACAAACAGAAAACAAACAGGCAAACACACACACACACTCTCTCACACACACACACACACACACACACACACACACACACTCACACAAGCAAACAAACATAAAATATAACCATAAACAAAACAAATTAAACCGCAGAACTAATAATCCCCAATGAAAAAAAACACTTGAAAATAAAAATTCTTTTAAAAAAAGACAAAAAACAACAACAACAACGCCGGAATCTAATGAGACGTACACTTTACAAGACATCACGAAGGAGGCGGAGCGAATCAGCTGATCGAAGAAGCCAGTAAACAAAATCAGCTGATCGAAGAAGCCGGTAAACAAAATTTCCCGAGCTAAGAACACGTGGACTGGCGACGGAAGTGCTGCCTCCGTGTCGTCAATAAATCCGAGTCGATTGCAGGAGGGATTAGTGACGGGATCGAGGGATTACAATCGAACATATAAAAACACCCTTCGACCTGTGATAGAAAATATATAAAAAGAAAAGAAAAAAGAAAAAATTAATGGTTTCATTTTCGGTAAAAAAAAAAAGAAAAAAAATCATCAAGCAGGTCGCGGCAACAGAAAATTTAGGAACTAATTATGCAGGAACTCCATTGCATAACACTCCAGCCCAGTCTCGTTTAGACCTCTTCTTTCGCGAATTTAATGAACAAGAAGAGGGAGAGAGAGAGAGAAAAAAAAAAAAACATAAAATAAAACATCTCCAGGTGCAAAGGTGCTAATAACCATCCCTTTCACTGCCCTTCCGAAACAGGTAACGAACTGAACACGTGACTACTTTCGTATACTGTACTCACCACTACACCACCGGCATTTGAACAGCACGTTGTTCATCTTACCTGAAAAGAACACAAAAAAAAAACATAAACATCGAGAAAATATGGGATCAGCTCCGTCAACAAGTGCAAGGACTCTTGACAAGGGATCAAATGCAGTAAAAAAAAAAAAATCTAGCAAATATGCAACAATATTGCATCGCTGGAACACATGTATTAAGGAAATAGCTCATAAAGCAAAAATAACAATCTTCTTAAAGGCTAAATAGCTGAAATAGAGTCCTTTAGCAGTGTTTTTTTTATTATTAAAAGAAAATCATATGTCACTCAACCTTTGCTAATGCCAGGAGGCGGATTGGAATCGCGACAATAAAAACAACACAAGGCAGTCTGGATTCAAGCATTATGCTATCAGTACGTATTATCAGAAAGTATAAATGGTTCAGAAACACATATATATATATGTGTATGTATGAATGTATATGTATTATATATAATATATATTATATCATATATATATATATATATATATATATATATATATATATATATATATATATATATATATATATATATATATATATATGCAATGAGTGTGTGTAGATAGATAGATAGATAGATAACAGATAGATACATAATCTAAACCTATGACATGCCTCCCCCGCATGTCCTGATACCCGGGCCCAAACAAGACCCGCCGCGCCCTCGCCATCCGCGCGAGCTCGGCCTCGGCGGCGCGGAGAAACAGGTGGCTTCGAGGGCCGCCCGCTCGCCCCCTCCGCCCGAGAGCGAGCTTCCTTTTGCAGTCGAAAAAGGCACTCCGTCGGGCGGTGGGCGGCGGAGCGGGCTCGGGGCCGCCCCTGGAGGCCCTCTTCTCCCCTGAAGGGCGAAAAGCCTTCCGGAAGCCCCTTGATCCCGCCGACGGAAGCATTTCGGCGCCCTCCTCCCAAAGCCGCGTCTGTCCAGCGAAATGAATTGAAAACTTTTGGATCTGGCATTCGAAATTAACGCAATTCAGGGCTGGCGACTCTTCCAGCGCGCGACAAGTGCCAATTAAAAATATATAAATATTCATATTGAGTCCGTCGTGGAGGTGGAGGGGGGGGAGGAGGGGAGAAGGGCAGGGGAAGGGGAGGAGGGGGAGAGAAGGAGGAGGGGAGGAGGGGCGGAGGGAGGGCGGGAGAGACCGGCTGGTGCTGCTCACTCCACGTACAGTGTCTATCCCGGGAATATGTTAGCATATATCAATCTCTATTTTTACAGACTGGTAAAGACGTCTGGGTTTGTGTGAACCTCCGATCCCTTTCTCGGTAACAGGTAAAAGGATGAAGTTAAAGGATACCCGAGGGCGAAGCAGGAACCCCGCAGGAGCCCCAGCAGGAACCCCCGCAGGGAACCCAGCACCCCAGAGGAGCCCCCAGCAGGAGAGCAGGAGCCCCCAGCAGGACCCCCCAGCAGGAGAGCAGGAACCCCCCCCCGCCCCAGGAAGTGGACGACGCGACGGGGAAGAGTGGATCTCGAGCTCTCCACTTCGCCCGCTGACCCCACTTCCACACTGCCCATAGAGGGACGACCGGCAGTGCCACCATGATATTACTTTTAAATTAGCAGATATCAGTAATCAATGAAAGATAATCCTGCTATTTCAGTAATTATAGTTCCGAATATTACGTTCACTACAAAGCCCAAACTAGGCTTGTCATACATAAAACGACAATGGACGGGAAGAGAAAAATACGAAAATTTATCCATGCATAAATGAGGAATATGAAAATGAGCACTCGTATACAGATAAATAAATGTACATATACGCCTCTGTGTGTGTGTGTGTGTGTGTGTGTGTGTGTGTGTGTGTGTGTGTGTGTGTGTGTGTGTGTGTGTGTGTTTGTATGTGTATGTGTGTGTGTGTGTGTGTGTGTGTGTGTGTGTGTGTGTGTTTGCGTGCATGCGTGTAATGGCTAGCCTCCCACTGTCAGCAGTGAAACCCGTCTGTTTCTCGCCTCGTACCACTGGCATTAACCCTGAGTTCAGTGTACAGTTTTAGTAACACTGTCAAACAAAAGCTTTTGTCGCTGTGTCGAGATGGTCAACTTTTCTCTCGGCGTAGCTTTGCTCGAAGCAGATTTAGTGATATACACAATGACATGACACGCCCCCGGCATGGCTTACTGGACACAATGCTTGCTGCCTTTTCCATTTCTCTCGTCACCGTCCGTCATCGCGTAAAGACATGATAAAAATCACATAAATAATGCTTTTCGCCTCCATTAGGAATATTACTGCCCTCGACGTCATTTTCAAATCTTTACTGCCGTCCAGTCGACTGCCAGTAAGAAATACACATCCGCTTGTCTCGCACACAAAAAGGGACATCTATCCACACATCTACATTATGATGATCAACTCACGTCAGTTGCTAAGTCCAGAAAAGTATAACAAAGTCAGTTCTACCATAACATTCACCTGACTATATCACAACTAGTATAATGGAGACGTTCCTAAAATAACATTTAATAGACTGTACCATATCTAGTGAAGTAAAGACGGTTCTGTATTTACCTATTTCAGAACAAAGACAGCTCAACAATAACTTTCAGCTGATTAAATCATAACGAATATGACAAAAAAAAACTATTCTAAAATAGCATAACATAGTTTTGAAATCACTTTTAGAAGACTATATCATAACTAGTAGAGCAAGGACTGTTCTACAACAGTATTCAGCAGAATGTATCATAACTAACTCAGTGGCTACTGCTCGTAATAACACAATTCAGAACCCGTTATAACTTTCAACAAACGCGTAATGACCAATAACACAAGCTTTGCAATAAACCACAATTTCTACTAAACAATCAACAAAAATAACACAAGTGTTACCTATAGCAAGTTTCCCCATAAACCAGATAAAAAAAAAATGGGTGTTAACGTCAGCACGTCATTACAACACGGCGGCCATAGCACGAGTACAAACACGACATGTATCATAAGCGCAATCAAAACGGCGCTACCATAAAAGTTGTACAAACATCACTAATCAAGTTACTAACACAGCTTTGATCCACTTTTCGTGCATCACGCAGTGCCATCACAAACACCAACACTTGTTAGCCTCGGAAAGTGACCATGCGGCTATAGTTAGCGACAGAATGTGACTCGAAGACCGCTCTGGCTCTTGCGATGAAGAACCCCTCGAAGGTCGCTGGTCCTCGAAGTAACAGCCGTCGGTATGTTTAGGATTTTTTTTGGCCCCGTTTTCACCTACTGTTTTCGTACGATCTACATCATGACTTTCGTGCATTGCAAAACCACGCCGCCACACCTGTTGCTGCACTCTCGACTACACCGCTACGAGCTACACCCTTCCCTCTGCCGACCCTGCATCCTGCACTCTCCCCCCAGCCCTCCCGACGTGTCCTTACGCTGCCCTGCCCTCCGAGTAACGCCCAGACTATGGCAAGCGTCCCCTAATAATGGATAATGACATGCCAGCCGTAATGCTGCAACATTTATTCATTTTTTATTGTCTGGGCTGTAGGACCACCTGTCATTATGTTTAAGTATGCTGCAGCGTTTCACAAAAATACAACCGACTGTTTTACTCCAACACCTATACCAACCTGTCAGACTTAACCTATTAATGATTATAACAAGATACCACATGCCATTGAAACAGCCACCCAGCATTCTGAAGAAAAATTAACACGCACTGAAAAAAAACAAAAACAAACAAACAACAATCAAAATGCCCCCGTCACAATATCACGACATAAACAGCCCAACGAAAGGCCAATTGAGGAAGGACTCAACACCCTTCGACGTCGCCAGGAGAGGTGCTGAGGCCCCCTACCTGCCGGGGCCCCACGCGAGCGCCACGCCGAACAGATTCCGGCCACATCCGCCCTCCCGACGCAACGCACATCTCGACGCGGAGGAGGAGCGATAGACACCGGCCGGAATGGGACGCGTCACACCTTATCCGAACATCCTGCGTTTAATTGTGGATGTGTTCCTATCTGTCTGAGTGAGGACACGCACGGAACACGCATGCGAAAACGGTTGGTATCTGTGTGTGTGTGTGTGTGTGTGTGTGTTGTGTGTGTGTGTGTGTGTGTGTGTGTGTGTGTGTGTGTGTGTGTGTGTGTGTGTGTGTGTGTGTGTGTGTGTGTGTGTAGATATAAACGTAGCTATAGATACAAATGAAAATAGATAGATATATCGTTAAGTAGATAGAAAGAGAAACAGTCAGACACATGGTCATATAGACAGATAGACATAAAGATGGCAGATAGTTAGGCAGGTAGACATATAGATAGATAGATAGTAGAGAGAGAGAGAGAGAGAGAGAGAGAGAGAGAGAGAGAGAGAGAGAGAGAGAGAGAGAGAGGAGAGAGAGAGAGAGAGAGAGAGAAGAGAGAGAGAGAGAGAGAGAGAGGGGGAGAGGGAGAGGGGAGAGGGAGAGGGAGAGGGAGAGGGAGAGGGGAGAGGGAGAGGGAGAGAGAGAGAGAGAGAGAGAGAGAGAGAGAGAGAGAGAGAGAGAGAGAGAGAAGAGAGAGAGAGAGTGAGAGGGGAGAGGGAGAGGGAGAGGGAGAGGGAGAGGGAGAGGGAGAGGGAGAGGGAGAGGGAGAGAGAGAGAGAGAGAGAGAGAGAGAGAGAGAGAGAGAGAGAGAGAGAGAGAGAGAGAGAGAGAGAGAGAGAGAGAGGGAGAGGAGAGAAGAGAGAGAGAGGAGAGAGAGAGAGAGAGAGAGAGAGAGAGAGAGAGAGAGAGAGAGAGAGAGAGAGAGAGATCAGATCAACTATAAACGACAAACCGACAGACAGACACGGAATTGCAAGCATCGTGACCCGGAGATTCCAAGCAGCATTTCTAATTCAGACCCTTGACCACCTCAGTGTCCAGCTGCGAGGCGGCGCTGTGACCTTAGATGCTGCAATATAAAGATAGCGACCTTTGACCTCTGGCGACCTGAGACCCCGGCATTCCTCAGAGGTCACTGGCTGCTGCTGCCATGGGTGATGGGAGGGGAAAGAGGAAAGGAGAAGGAGGAGAAGGAGGAGGAGGAGGAGGAGGAGGAGGAGGAGGAGGAAGGGAGGAGGAAGAAGGAAGAGAGAAGAAGAGGAGGAGGAGGAGGAGGAGGAGGAGGAGGAAGAAGAAGGGGATGAGGAGGAGGGGGGGGTAGTCCATTGCGCGGAGGATGAGAGAGCCAGAGGAGGTCCCGAGAGGAAGGGGGGAAGACGGAGGGAGGAGGAGAACGGAAGGAGAGAAGACGAAGAGAGGAGAAAGGAAAGAGAGAAGGAAGAACGAGAGAGGAAGAGAGAAGACGAAGAGAGGAGGAGAACGGAAGGAGAGAAGACGTAGAGAGGAGGAGAATGGAAGGAGAGAAAACGAAGAGAGGAGAAGAACAGAAGACGAGAAGACGAAGAGAGGAGGAAGATCACAAGGAGAGAAAACGAAGCAAGAAGAACGGAAGCCGAGAAGACATAGAGAGGAGGAGAGCGGAAGGGGAAAAGACAGAGAGATGAGGAGAAGGCGAAGGAGAGAAAACGAAGCAAGAAGAAGAACAGAAGACGAGAAGACGAAGAGAGGAGGAAGACGAGAAGACGAAGAGAGGAGAAGAACGGAAGCCGAGAAGACACAGAGAGGAGGAGAGCGGAAGGGGAAACCGGGGAGCGAAATACTGGAGCGAGGGACGCCATGGAGATAGCATGAGGAGGCGCGGTGAAAGGCCGGGGGCTGGCGCTGCTGTATCCTGCTGCATCAGGGGACACTGCTTGGGAGAGCGCACGCACGCACGCACGCACACACGCACATCTCCATACACATTCATCTGACCGAACATGCTTGTCATGCATGAAGTCCGGTAACAGATAAATATGTACATATATATATATATATATATATATAAATATATTATATATATATATATATATATATATATATATATATATATATATATATATATAAGAATATATAGAAGAGAGAGAGGAGAGTGAACGTGAGAAAGAGAAGACGAAGAGAGAGTGAGTTGTGTAGTGAGTGAGTGAGGGAGAGAGTGCGCGAGAGTGAGAAGGAAGAAAGAAAAGACAGAAGAGGGACGAAAGAGAGAAAGAGAGACAGAAGAGAAAGAGAGAAAGACGGAGAAAGGTAGAAAAAGAGAAAAAGAGAAGCAGAAAGAGAGAGAGAGGAGGAAGGAGAGAGAGAGAGAGAGAGAGAGAGAGAGAGAGAGAGAGAGAGAGAGAGAGAGAGAGAGAGAGAGAGAGAGAGAGAGTGAGGCGGAGAGAGGAGAGAGAGAGAGAGAGAGAGAGAGAGAGAGAAGAGAGATGAGAGAGTGTGAGAGGAGAGAGAGAGGAGAGAGAGAAGAGAGAGAGAGAGAGTAGAGAGAGAGAGAAAGAGAGAAAGAGAGATGAGAGCTGAGAGAGAGAAGAGAGAAAGAGAGAGAGAGAGAACTGAGAAGAGAGGAGAGATGATGTAGAGAGAGAGAGAGAGAAGAGAGAGAGAGAGATGAGACGAGAAGAGAGAGAGAGAAAAGATGAGAAAGAGAGAAAGAGAGAGAGATAATTATAA